TACCATTACCAAACCCGTTTGTCAGTTTTCCTCCATAATTAGTAAGCACAGTCACCAAGCACCAGAATTAACATTTTAACCACCATACATCCCAGACCCACAGTAAGCAAGTAACAAACACTAACATCAACATTCTGGCCCCACAATCACCGATACAAGAACCAAGACTATCATAATCAATCATTCTAGTCGCCAAGAGACCAAGTGCCAGGTATCTTCAGAAAGTTGTCTGTGTCTGGTTTTATAGTGACTAAGTGCCACAGCCAACGCCAACCCCACGAACCATATTGACCCACTAGCCAAAAACCAGTTATTCTCGCCAAGATTTCTGGCCTCACAGAGACCAAGTGCCAGTTATCCTTTACAATTAATCTGCCAACACAGAGACCAAGTACCAGAATCAAAATTTTAACAACCATACATTCTGGTCATACAGTAACACACACTAATCATGTACAACAACAAACACTAACGTCGCCAAACATTCTGGTTTCACCAAGCACCAGAACTAATACTATTCTCCCTGAGCACCCTGCATTCACTGTGAATTATATTGAATAGCTACCATCACCAACCATTCTCGCATCAAAGTGAGCAAGAGGTCAAACCAACATGTCTTTACTTCACATTGATCAAGTACCAGAAAGAACAACACATTAATTAGTATCACTAATTACTGTCCACACTTATGTACAAATGTACTTTGGGCTCCCTCGAACCCATGACTTCAGTATGCTGACAGGGCCCAGTGACTTACAATTTAACATATCACCACTCTCCTCCCCAAGACATGGGTACACTCACCTAAACCTTCATATTTATTGCAACTTCGAAATATGTCTTCACTAATGTATCATCATCATCTGTATAACACCTTTCTCCCTTATCTCAAACTGTATCTCTGAGGAGTCATTTCTTTTGATCTCTACACATCGATTCATCTGTTTAGCTCTCTGTGGGTTCTTCAGAATTTCTTTGAACTGTCTGCCTCTAGTCACAATATTGGCACCCCATTAGCCTCATCTTGAAGAACGTGTTTGGGTGCACTTTCCTTCCTTAAGTTTGTTTTTTCTCCATTAGGCTCAATCTCTAATATCTGGGCACCCAGGTTGCGAAACCACCCGACTTCATCAGTATCATCATTCATCAATATTTACAATGTTTGTGATTCAGGTTTCCACCCGACCTTCAAGGAATATGGATGTGGAGGAAGTGGCTGGCCCCGAAAAACCCACCACCATATATTTCTCATCTTATCTCTGTTTTTCTATACTCACAACGAGTAGCACTCCTAAGTAATTCGGGTTTTAGTTTACATCCTCTCCCTGCCACAATGTTCCTGTTTCATCACACAAACATGGATGCATTCACCGCCAACAATGGCTCACATATAAACATCACTTAATTGGTGAGATTGCTGTTGTTTCATTGCGCATATAATTGTATAATGGGTGCCACGTATGTCTTCAAATCACTCTTTTTTATTATATAGTATGGTTGAACCATTTGGAGGTTACATTCCCCATGATCATGAGTTGACTCAGTTCCCTAATTATAATACTTGACTCAAAGTTATAAACTCGGTAATTTAACCAAACTTTCCTATGAGACTGTCATACAGGAATTTAGCTGTTGTGTTTAATGTCTAGTTTCAGGGTTTTCTTTTTAACGCAATACCAGAATGTTATTGGGATTGGCACTTCAATTTCAACCAGATTGTGGTATGGTAAAATGGTGTATGTCATCCCAAATACCTATCATATTATTACACTCATCACTGAACTATTCTGCTGATATTTCTATTAATTAGGAGAAAATTTGATGAGTACTCCTAGCAGCTTGGCTAGTGGCAGTCTAAAGTCTAAAGACAATTCACACAATCTGCTTAAACAATGTATTACCAGTAACAACATTGCTTCCAATTTTAATAAAAGCTGACCCAACAGCAATCTAACTAAATCATGCTAAATAACACCACAAAATCATACAGAAAAACTGAGACAAGATCTTCACCAATTGTGATGGCCTCAAAATTTATCCACATTGTAGGACCAAGATTTTCTGCACCAATTGTGATGGCTTCACAACGCAGCCACATTGTAGGACCAAGATTTTCTGCACCAATTGTGATGGTTTCACGATCTATCCACATTGTAGGACCAGACCAAGATCTTCTCCACCAATTGTGATTCATTCACAATGTATCCCTGTTGTAGGACCAGGCAAAGATCTTTTCCACCAATTGTGTTTCCTTCACAATCCATCCACGTTGTAGGACCAAGATCATCTTCAATTGTGTTTCCTTCACAATCCATCCACGTTGTAGGACCAAGATCATCTTCAATTGTGTTTCCTTCACAATCCATCCACGTTGTAGGACCAAGATCATCTTCAATTGTGATTTCCTCACAATCCATCAACGTTGTAGAGACAAGATCATCTTTACAATGTATCCATACTGCGAAATCAACAACATCGTTGTCATGTCTGATGGCCTCACAATGCATTCAGAACCAAGATCATCATAACAAACGTGATGTCTTCACAATGCGCCCTTGGAAGAAAAGCAACATCCAGTGCATCCATGTAGTAGACCCAACTAAATTTCAATGTTGCCATACAGTTAACCAACGAGATCTCACTAATTGTGATGCGGTTTTTCCATGCCAATTGGAACATTAAGAAGAGGACATATGCACACACAAAGTTGTTCACCTTTGTTTTTGAAAGTAGACCTTTGCATCTAATTGTTTTGTTGTTTTTGATGAAAACTGCATATTAGCTTAAACAATGGTTTCTTATTTTAAAGTTATTTTAAAAGCAATTTGTATTCAGTATGGTCAAATGAATAATTAGATACATTAAATGACATAGACTTGCATGTAGTTAATACATACCATGACTATGCCAACACTTGATAGACAAAAGATGAATACTCTTGTCTATACATACCGTGGCTATGCCAGCAAAAATAACATCCTGTCTTAATATTGTTGTTCATTATATACAGCATCCAACATTATTAATCAGATTAATGACTCAAACGTTATATTTAAAAAGAATAATAAAAACAAATTTATTTAATGGAAAAGTTTTTCCAAGAGCACTGACTGCCAGCATGCTTGTAATGAGTGAAAAGTCATTGACATGTGATCCTCAATAAAAGGAGCATCCCCCATTGGTATTACTCTGAGTAATCAGTGCATGCTAATGGTGGAAAAACATTTTTTGGCTGATAAACTGTCATGAATTGACCATGCGGAATGGTTTTAGAAGGAAACCTGTCAACTTTTTATCATTTACTGTATGATGTAGTTCCATTTGCGATAAATGTGCTCACTGAGTGTGAAGATGCACCACCTGCTAGCTTGACCTTTATCTGACCTTTGACCTCATCATGAATGCAATGGAGTGATAATTCAATGTTTTTATGACACACAAGGCACACACATTTCTGATTCTCGGGATGCGCCGTAGTCAAATAACTGTGGGTCAGTGGTGATGAACGCATTAATCTAAAAATGGCTAAAGGAGATAAAAATGTAATTAATGTTTTGTACATCTTTCTTTACATTCTTTGCCATACGAGGGCGCCATTTCAGCTACATTTCACAGACCAAAGAAGTGTAAAGGCACTAGCTACTAAAATCACACTGGAAAATATTATACCTCAAAGTGTTTTTTTTTTAGTAGGCAAATTAGATTTTATGACACTACATATGTGCAATTGTTTAAATGTAAATTTTGCTCTCAAACTAAGACGTAGGCGTAGTAAATTATG